TAAGAGAAGAATTAATGCCTTTGAGTTGCGGTGCTAGAGAAGAGTATTGAACATACCATGACCTGCCCGAAGAACCAACAATTCTCTCCTAGAGATGATGAAACCAAACTGATCCTTGGAGGCAAGGATTTTGAGACTGTCTAATGTACTTTGGAGCATGTAGCCAGGAAAGGCCAGTCTTGCTTAGAATGGTTCAGTGGAAGCACAGGAGAGGGAGATTTTGGATGAGATGGATTGATACAATTGACACTGTGGTAATGAGGGTACGTGCATCTGAGACAGTAAGACTGGCACAGAATAGGACAAGGTTCCGAGCCATTGTGCAGTACTCAATGACACATAACAACAACATATTACCATTGGGGTTCTTGTCTTCCAGCTCAGTGGCTCTTTTCTAATTTATCTTGCATATGTAATGGCTAACTGAGAAAAATGGGAATCCCAGAACACTTAATCATACTTATGCAAAACCTATACTTGGACCAGGAGGCAGTTGTCAGAAGAGAGCAAGGAAACACAGCATGATTTAAAAGTGGGAAGGGTATATGCCAAGGATGTGTCCTATCTCCATATATTTTCCATCTATATGCAGAACAGACTATCTGAGAGGCTGGGCTCTATGAGGAGAAATGTAGCATCAGGATTGGAGGAAGACTCATCAACAATCTACATTATGCAGATGACACAACCCTGCTTACTGAAACTGAAGAGGACCTGAAGCACTTTCTAGAGAAGTCCAAGGACTTCAGCCTTCAATATGTATTGAAGCTCAACATCAAGAAGACAAAGATTCTCATCAGTGGGCCAACTGGCTGCATCATGATGGATGGTGAAGAAATTGAGACTGTTAACAGCTTTAATTTGCTTGGCTCCACAATCAACACTCTTGGCACCAGAATCCAGGAAATTAAAAGACATATTGTTATGGGAAAGTCTGCTGTCAGAGACCTCTTCAAAGTACTGAAGAGCAACAACGTCAGTCTGGAGTCTAAGGTGCACCTGAGCTGACCTAAGGATGGTAGAAGAAAAATCAATGCCTTTGAGCTGTGGTGCTGGAGATTTGTACTGAATATACCGTGGACTGCTAAGAGAATAAATATGTTTGTTTTAGAGAGGGCTGCTCCTTGGAGGCAAGGATTCTGAAGCTTCATCTGACCTACATTGGGCATGTTGCAAGGACGGACCAGTCCTTGGAGAGGGATTCTATGCTTAGGAGGGTGGAAGGACAGCACAAGAGAGAAAGAACCTCAATGAGATGGATTGACTCAGTGACTGGGGGGTAGGTGTGTCAGAGACAATAAGGTTGGCACAGGATAGAACAGGGTTTAGGGCTGTTGTACATAGAGTAGCTGAGTTGCCAGCAACTCCATGGCACATAGCAATAACAATAGCATATAAAGGCTTGGAAATTTCTTATAGCTTCCCTTCTGACAAAGAGGTGATTGAAAGTACATTGGGTCACATGCACCTTACTCCTCAAAGAGAGATCTTTACTTTTGAATACTTTAAAGAAGTCTTTTACAAAAGACTTGTCTGATGGAATCTGTTTCTTGATTTCTTTACTGTTACTTCCCTGGGTAAGATTGTGTATCCAGGTGAGATTAAATACTTGACAATTTTATTCTTTTATTTGTACATCATGATGTTACTTATTGGTCTAGATGTGAAGTTTTTGTCTGCTTTATGTATAATCCATAGTCTTTGATCTTCCACTATAAGGTCTTCATATTCTCTTTGTTTTCAGCATTTAAAGTTGTATCATCTTTTAATTCATTTATGTCAGATTTCTGTATTATTCGCTCAGTGTCCAGGTTGTATCAGTAAGATGCAAATATAAAATCCTGAAAGGTATAACCCTCATGCACATATTTCTTTATTTTAAATCATAGAGGATTCTGATATAACATTGCTCTATCCAAATGATTATCAATTAGTTTATATACAAATTTCTCATGAGTAAAATTAAGTCTAAAATTCCTATTTTTCACAATATTAATCATGATGTCCATAACCATAATATTGACACAGTCAAATATATTTACTTAGTCAGCAAAATATAAACAAACTTCTTTCTAATATGATGCGCATTCAGTCAAGATCCATTTGACATCAATAATGTCAATATTAATTTTAAATCTTCAGAATCTGACTTGAATTTCTATTTCTCTGTCACTGTACTGCAACAACAGTTTTTAAATTATCTTCTGCAAAATTTTATTTCCATATTTATGTGACTAATGGTGTTCAATAATTTCCACATTCTGCTAGATATTTTATCTTTGGAATGGTAACAAATATGGATGTTTTCTATTCAGTTGGCCAAATAAGTAGCTCTCTTCTTTATTTTTTTTAACATGACCATCCTGCATCCACTTATGAAAATATCTCCATTTGGTATTTTTTTCAACTCCTTGAGCTTTGATTTTTACCCATCAATGTCTTCAGTACAGTTTTCATTTGTATTATTCACTACAGATTGCTCCCAGGAGGCAAAGATGGTGAAGCTTTGTTTCTCATAATTTGGACATATTAGTAAGAGAAGCAATTCTTTGGAAAGGGACATCAATCTTGGAAAGATGGAGGGTCAGCGAAAGAGATGAAGGCCCTCGATGAGATGGATTGACAGAGTGACTACAATGGGCTCAAACATATCAAGAGATTGTGATGGTGGCACAGGATAGGGCCAGGTTTTAATCTGCTGTTCATAGGGTCACTATAAGTTATAGTAGACGTGATGGTAAAGACATTGCTCTTTATCATTTTTATTTTATATTTGTTGATTCCCTAATTCCCTAGATTCATTCATCATATAGCTCACATCTCAATTATTGATAGGTGTTTGAAACTATTTCTTCTATAATTTTGGGTTGTAAAATTCTACTCAGGTGAAATCTTTCAACTCATCAGAAGATCCCAAAACTTTACTGCATCCCCATGATTAAGGTTGACTCTACTTTGATAAGCTTTTCCCTAGTTGTGTTGTGAGAGTCTTCAAATATGAGGGGCTGATCTCTAGCACTGTATTTCCTAATATTCCTCTGATATCCATAAGATTTTGCCTGGCCATATGATTTCAGGAGATTGCCAAGTCTTCTTTCTAGTTAGTATACCATCAAAGCTCTGCTAGAACTAATTCACCAAGAGTGATTGAAACCCAGCGATACAGTTCCTAGCATCATAGTAAACTGTGACAGAAGAGTGAGAGATTGGCATTAAGTGAATTAATAATGCAAAATAGTCAAGATTTTGACTTGAAAACAAAATATTACTTGGTTATGAGTCTCCAATATGTGGCCCAAAGTTAATATTCTTTTAATGAATGATTTAAACATGAAGGGAATGAAGACATTTTCATTTAAATTCTCTGGTGGAAAGTAAGCATTCATGTGTATTAGATTACTAAATTATCATTCTTTTGTGCATTTAACTTTTATAAGATGATGCTAGAAGAAGAACCCAAATGAGTTATATTTCAAGTTAAACTTACATTTTGCCCCTAAAATAGAGGGGTAGGAGGAGTAGCATTATGGTAAAGGTTTTCTCTGCAGTTTCTTCTATTTAATTATATCTGCCAACTACATGTTGCTCAGCAGGGATATTCCTTGGAAAGGGACAAAATGCTGGGAAGGTGGAGGGTCAGCAAAGGAGAGGAAGACCCTCAGCCAAGTGAATTGACACAGTGACTCCTGCAGTGGGCCCTTGTGTGTCAGGCAGTGCGAGGTTGACAAAGGATAAAACAGCGTTCAGAGTTGATTTTGGGGTTTTTTTTCCTTTTAACATTTTTAATTTAATTTAATTTTTTAATTTTTTAAAATTTTCTACTAATTTATTTAAAAATTTGAATACATTGTTTTCAAGAACAAATTCTTTCATTTTTCATCACTCTCCCACCCATCAAATTGTACAACCCCATGATCAGTTCCCCCCTCCTACTGCACATCCTCATCTCTCTGCTTCCAGCTTCTCCCACCCCTCCTGGATCCTTATACTCATTCTACAATAACTGTTTTATAAATATTTATCTTTGTGGGACTGAGTTAATTCAGTCAGCATAATGCTCTCCAGTACCTCCCAAAGTTAGGTAATAATTTACAAAATCATTGCTCCTGTGTGTTGCATAACATTCCATTGTGTGTATGTACCATAATTTTTCAATTCATTCATTTGTGATTGGACTTTTGGGAGGTTTCCATGTTCTTGTGATGGTGAATAACACTGCTATAAACATTGGTGTACAAATCTCTGTCTGTTCCTCAGTTCTCATTTTCTCAGGGTATATTCCAAGCAGCAGAATAGCTGGGTCATATGGGATTTCTATGTTCAGCTTTTTGAGGAAGCACCAAACTGCCTTCCAGAATGGTTGTACCATTTTACAATCCCACCAACAATGTCTAAGAATTCCTGTTTCGCCACATCATGGTTCAGGTTTTTTTGTTCATGGTGTTCCTATGAGTACTCAACTCAATGACACCTGACAACAACAGCTCTACATTTATGTCCAAAAACTCAAACGACTCATAACCATAGAATCAGAACTAACTCACTGCAGACCCTCCATTGAATCTCTGAGGCTATGAACTACACAAAGGAGATTGCCCATCTTTCTTCTGTGGAACCACTAATGGATTCAAACTGCCAGAGAGGCTTGGCCTTTGAATTAGCAGCACAACTCCCTACAAACTAAATCTATTAGGGGGACAATAGTATTGTGTGTGTGTGTGTGTGTGTGTGTGTGTGTGTGTCCAGAAACTTCTTAGCTCAATTAAAAGAATATGTTCTAATAATTTTTTTCAGCCATCTGAAAATGAAGCAGGCTGTGTCTAACATATCCATTTTCACATTAAAGCATCTGTTGTTTGGGTTCTGGAAAGAAGGAGTAAGGGTTATTGGAGGGCTGGACCACAAGACCTTTGACTGCCCTTTAGCCTGTGGAGGTTCTAGATTATGTTGAGGTGATTGATGCCTAGAAGCAGCTAACCAGGTCTGTCTGTTGTCCACAGGTCTGAGGCGCAATTACAGATGTACCATCTGCAGTGTCTCCTTAAACTCAATAGAACAATATCACGCTCATCTGAAAGGATCTAAACACCAGACCAAGTAGGTACCTTCAGACTTTTACTTTTTAGTCATTTTGCATATAATTCAAGGTTAACCATATTACTTATTTTAAAATTGTGATTGCTAGGTATAAGTATCCCTCTTTACCTCTGAAGTCTCCTTGATTAATGGTGGCATTGGTTAAGCTACCAGTGGCTACCTAGTGCTACTTGAAGATACACTTGGTTTTCTCCTTTTATTGTCTCAGTTCCTGAGAAAATCTTTTTTATTTTTGTTTTTAAAAGAGAGCTCAGCATGCTTTTCAAACTTGAAGAAACAATTTTTGAAACTTTTTAAATTGTTTTCAAATAAGCAATTTTAAAACTATTTGGAAGATATGCCAGACTTCAGTGTTGTGAAGCCAGATTCTATGAATATTTTCCATCACTCTTCATTTCTGGATGACTATTGTCGATTATTATAGAAACTTAACAAATCCCCTGGTATATTAAGTCATATGCACAGCTATTTCCATTTAAATGGAACTTTGTAACATTTTCCCCTCAAATTCTTATGATTTAAAATTGGGGGGAAAAGGCAAACTAGTCATCATTTCATCTGTATTTCTTTTTTATGCATCTCATTAAGAAATTCTGACATTCGCTTTTGGAATATTTTTAAAGCAGCTGTTAGGACTAGTAAAACATACAAGGGGAAAAAAACAGGTAAAAGGTCAGAAATAAAGAAAATTTTCCTGTGCATGATTGTTTTCATTTCTCTAATATTCATTAGAAGAACGATTTAAATTTGCTAAAAGCACAGTTCATTGTATCAAAGCTTTACAATTTGTGAGTGATTCATTCAACAACATTCATTGAGTTCCTACTATGTGCCAGGCTCCCAGCTGTTCACTGGACAAGGCAAAATGCATAGACCTACTCCTCTTATTTAGTTCTCAGTCTGGTTGGCAAAACTGTCACATAAACTGATAGATTGCTCTATAAAGCCTTAAGGTTTGCACCTAGACTTTGATACAGAAGTGAGAACAGCTGAACTTGGTGTGTCAGGGCAAACTTCACAAAAATTTTGGTGGAGAGGTTGAGACATGTAAAGATGAGAGACTACAATCTGATTGTGCTGTGTCTCCAGTTTTTAGCACATCTCTTACTATTATATCCAAGAGATTTCATAAACATTTTTCATTAAATGAATGTATAATTTTCAAAGATGGCTTATGATTTCCCAGGCGAGGATATTAGGAAGGAGTATTCCAAGCAAATAATTTGTTTTGCAAAAATATGTCAAGTTGTGGATTACTAAGGGATCTCAGTCTAGGGTTTATTGGTGACTCTCAGGGTTTTCGTTAATGTAGTGTTGTTTCAGGAGTCAGAGCTGCTTCAATAATTTACTTTGCTCTGTTTTGTTCTGGAAGATTTTAGTCAGAGCAATTCTTCAGAACTGTTTTCCTCTACTTATTATGGAATTTCTAGAAAGCTTTTATTATTGTACCAGGACTTATAATTGGTTCATTCTGGTTTGCTCTCTGCTGAAAATGTATATTTCCATTGCAGATATACAGAATCAGAATCTACATTTTTAGGAAGATTCTTAGGTGGTTCTTTGACTCACTTTTAAGCCTTATATTATTATATATACTTTCTCCCAGGACACTTAGCAGCATCTTTCTAAACTGAATGTTTTAAGATAAATAATATACATTCTAATTAACCAGGGTCTGGTGTTCTGACAAATGCATTGCAACTAGCGCATTGCAATTACAAGTAGCTGTAATAATAAACAATTTTACAGCTTATTTTTTTCATTTAATAAATAGACAAGGGTAGAGAATGATTCCATTCAGTGGCAAGAATCGTGTAAATACATAAAGGAGGTAAAATATTTTTTTTTCATATAGTCATATATTTTTTTATACAGTCATGTAGTTGGCTATGCTGATATTAATATGAAAAACACAAAAGACCATATTGTTGTGAAACTGAGACGATGAAAAGATGCAGACACCAGGAATGATCTGGAAGAGCATCTAAGCAGGGCCCTAACAGCTCAAAGAATGCAGCTCTGAGCTAAACACTCTCATAGGTTTTATTATAATCAACCAGGAAGTAAAGAGAGAAAAAAATGCTTAAGAAGCTGTATTTTCATTTTCCATGACTCTTAACAGAAGCTATATTCATTATCTTTAAGAACCTCTTGTTTGTGTATAACTTTTGATTATAACACAAGAACATAGCATCATTGCTAAAAAATGGTAAGAACAGTCCGTCTGCAGAAAGTTCTTATCTGGGTGGACTCCTTTGTCTGCGAAGAACATCTCATTTTTGGTGATCTGTCAGGAGGAAACACAGCGGGTCAAGCATTCAACTATCTTCTTGCTAAACCTTTGCCCACCACATCATATGATTATCTGAGTCAAAATGGCCAGCACGAGTTCATTTTAGCTTACTAAATGCACAGGATATGGATCTTAGTGTGTCCCATTTTCATCTTTGACAACTTCCAATTTTCCTAGAATCATACTTCAAAGATTCCACTTTCTGATTACCAATGCTGATGCAGCTGATTTTCCTCATTGTGACCCCAGAAACATCTACACAGGAAGGATAAATTGGTGGAAATCTTTCTTCTGTCCTCGTCATTAAGGAAGACTTTACTTTGAAGAGGCAGCTCTTCCTCAGTCGTATTTTGAATACCTTTAACCTGAATGGCTCGTCTTCCAGCATTGTATAGGACAAAGTTCTGCTGCTGTACAGAGGGTTTTTGAGGGTTTGTGTTTCAGAAATGGATTCCCCTTCCCGCTCCCTAGTTTGGGAGCTTTTTTGAAATTTGTTCGTGGTGACACTGCTGGCAATGAAAACAGTGGTGGTGGTGTAGGTTTTGGCATCACAGAACTACCACAGGCTACCACCACATGACAGACTGACAGATGCGTGCTAGATCACATGATAGCTCTAACTTCTGGGAAAGAGCTGTCTCTCTATACACATAAAACATGATGTACAGGAATTTGTGCTAGGAATTGTTTACTTCTGTTTCCTCATTTGATCCCTTTACCTACTTTTGAGATAAACTTCATTGGCACATTATTTTACATAAGAAATATGAGACTTATAAAGATTAAGTTGTTGTTGTTGTTGTTGTTGTTGTTATGTGCCGTCGAGTCGCTTGTGACTCAGCAACCCTATGTACAACAGCCCTAAACCGTGCTCTATCCTGCGCCAATCACACTGTCTCTGACACACCCATCCCAATTACCCCAGTCACTGAATCAATCCATCTCATAGAGGGTCTCCCCCTCTTGCGCCACCCTTCAACCCTCCCAAGCATGATGTCCCTCTCCAAGGACCTGTCCCTCCTTGCAACATGCCCAAAGTATGTCAGACGAAGCCCCAGAATCCTTGCCTTCAAGGAGTAGCTTGGTTTAACCCTCTCCAGAATGAATGTTTGTTTTCTTGGCAGTCCATGGTACATTCAATACTCTTCTCCAGCACCACAGCTCAAAGGTATCAATTCTCCTTCTGTCCTCCCTACTCATTGTCCAATTCTCTGATGCATAACAAGTGATTGTAAAGACCATGGCCTGTATCAGGCACACCTTAGTCTCCAGAGAGACACCATTGCTCTTGAATACTTTAGAGAGGTCCCTAACCACAGACTTTCCCATCACAATACGTTTTTTTATTTCCTGGATGCTGGTGCCAAGAGTGTTGACTGTGGAGCCGAGCAAACTGAAGCTGTGAACAATCTCAATCTCTTCACCCCATCCTGATGCTACCAGTTGGTCCAGTGGTGAGAATCTTTGTCTTCTTGACATTGAGCCTTGGTCCATACTGAAGGCTGTAGTCCTTGACCCTCTGCAGCAAGTGCATGAGGTCCTCCTCAGTTTCAGCGAGCAGGGTTGTGTCATCTTCATAACGCAGATTGTTAATAGATCTTCCTCCAATCCTGACTTAAAATCACCTTGTTAAAAAAAAGATGGAATTGGGACTGAAACCAAGCATATCTTTTTAGTATTTCTATTGACTTTGTTTCTGGCTTAAAGCAGAGAATACCAGAGGAAAAAAAAGTCTATTTGTTTTTTATTGACTATACAAAGACATTTGACTGTAGGGATCATAGCAAATAATGACTAACATTGAGAAAAATGGGAATCTCATACAAAATCTATACAAAGACCAAGAAACTGTTGTCCAAATGGAACAAGAGAACACTGCTTGGTTTAAAATTGGGACAGGTGTTCATCAGAGTTGTATCCCTTCCTCATACTTGTGTTCAATCTGTATGCTGAGAAAGTAATTTAAGGACGTGAACTACATGAAAAATGAAGCGGCATCAAGATGACTCATCAATAACCTGCTTTATGCAGATGACACAACTTTGCATGCTGAAAGTGAGGAGAATTGAAACATTAATGAAGAAAATAAAAGGCTATATACTTTAACATGAATTGCATCTCAACATCAAGAACACAAAAATCCTCACCACTGCACCAATAAGGAATGTAATGACAGATGGAGAAAAGACTGTTATTATTTCATCTTACTTGTACCTGCAATCACTATCCAGTAGTCAAGACACTAGGAGATGTACTGCATTAGAAAAGTGCTTTTTCAGGGACCTCTCCAATATACTGAAAAGCAGTGATATCAGTTTTTAAGATAAAGAAGAGCTTGATTTAGGCCATGTTCTTTTCAATTATTTATCTGAGAGCTGGACAATGGACAAGGGTGACAGGAGAAGAATTCATGCCTTTGAGTGGTGTTGGAAAAGTACTGACTGTCCTAAGGACTGCTGAAAGAAAAAACAGATATGTCTTGGGAAAAGTGCAGCCAAGAATTGGAGGCAAGAATGGTGAAGTTTCATCTCACATATTCTGAGCATGTTGGTAGGAGACAAAATTCCTTGGAAATAGACATCATTCTTAGAAAGGTGGAGGGTCAACAAAAGAGAGAAAGACCACCAACGAGATTAATTAACACAGTTACTACAGCAATGGCCTCAAGTATGTCAGAAATTGTTGAGAATGGCACAGGATGGGACAGAGTT